GCGGGTCTGGTACTGCTGAGCTACATCCCTGGCCCTTTCTACCCAATCTTAAGTGGATATAGACTTAGACCATCATCTGATACCAAACACTGTTACAGCAATTTTTTTTTTGTATCAAGGATTGAACTCAAGACCTTGTGCTTGTGAGGCAGGCACAGAGCCACTGAGCTAAATCCCTGGCTGCAATTTTAAATATATATATCGATGATAGATAATAGCAAAAGTATAAAAATCTATAAAGATGATCTGTTCTTAGATCAGGGTCCCCCAAAATGAGATAATTAGTAATTAGAAGGCATTCAAGAGAATGTTCCAAACAGAATCTTATTTTTGGAATTGTCGTGATAATGGATGAAAGCTTCACAGATCAGTCTTTGCATGTGATAGGAAAACACTGGGGGAAGTGACATCCAACAGAGTTCAGCCACTCTCTGGGCTTAAGAGCTTGCCTTGCTGTGCAGAGTAAATTTTGTGTTTGTGATAAATGATGGCTGTGACCACAAGCTCAAAGATAGGATCAGTTCCTTCCTTCAATCTTCTGGAAACTCCAAGGGCTCAGAGTTCATGTCATTGGAATGTGCTGGGGAAATCTTTGGTGAAAGACCCGTTTCCCTGTTTTATTTACTGTCTCTCCCCTTTGCCACTGGGGAAGATGTAGACAAGGAGGTTTATGGGTTTACTCCACCAATACTGCCTGGTGTCTAACAGACTCTAACAGTCTCCAAGGTGTGCACAGGTAGAAAATCAAGAGAAGAAAGGCAACATCATATTTCATCGTGGAACTTGCTGCTCATGTAAGGTTCCCGAGTTGCTTTTTTTAGACCAGAGTATAAACACAAAGCTTCCTCTGTTTGAGCATATGTGGATGCAACTCACGTGCAATGTGCATATTTACAGAGACCCAGTTAAGGCTCAGAAGCATCCAGGGAATGGAGCTGAGGCTAGGACCAGGTGGGGCCAGAGCCTCCTTGACCTCTTAGTACACTTGGTCCAAGGGCATCCAGCTAGACAGAAGGTCTAGCAATAGGTTGTTCTGCTCTTCCTGGGATCTAACATGGAGGTAGCCCATCAAATCCATAAAATCACGACAGACTTCCTGAAGTCGAGAAACCTTTTCATAAGGCAAGGACCAGCGCCAAGCCTGGGAGACATTGAGGGCATTCCTAGCATTTGTGTGGAAGGCATGTTGACCCATACCCTTGCCCCGCGTGATGTTGTGCACCCAGGTCTGGAGATGGGGCAAGAATTGCAAGCCTACGTACTCATACAACCGGGAAGTCTGGGCCAGGGGCATCCGGACCAGATCTTCATAGCGCACCAGCAGGTAGCGCTGCCGCAGGGCTTCTGGCAAGGAGTGGATGGCCCTGAATATCTCCATCTGACTTTGGCAGATAATCTGCATGGCGTGATATGGCCGGTCCTCCTCCTTGAGCGTTTGCCAAAGCTGCCCCAACACAATGCGACTGTCAATCATGAGCTCTGCTGTGGTGTGTTCTCGGGAACGGAACACAGCCCTGGGGTCCCGGATCAAGTGCACAATGTGCAGGTTGAGCAAGGGGTCCGTGAGCAGCGGGTAGAGGGTCTTCAGGTTGAAGAAGCGCACCTCCTTGAGCACCACGTGGCTGTAGGAGCGGCAGGCTTTCTCAACCCCCTCGAAGGGCTGCTGATGGCACAGGAGCTTACAGTGCGCATGGTAGATGATCTTGTCCCGAGGGAAGATGTTGCAGGCAGGTGGAGAACACAGGGCCCTGCTGTGTTCCCAGTGGAAGAGGATGGATTGCTTCCGAGGACCAGGATTCGTGTAAGCGTCGAAGACGCTCATGTCGCACAGGAAGACTGAGCGGAGCAGATCTCGCACTGCCATGTGCAGCCTCCAGGCGGTACTCTGTGTGAAGGACATCCACACGTGCCAGGCCGGCTCCATCAGGTAGAAGACATCTGGGTGCTGTCCAAAAAGCTGCCCTACGAAGGAAGAGCCAGAGCGCCAGGAAGACAGGATCAGCACATGCACCGGCCTGGGCTCCTCCTTCCCAGGCAGGGAGTTGTCATACAGGCGGAAGAAGAGAGCGAAGATGGCTATTTGGGAAGCCAGGAACAGCAGCAGCCTCAGTTTTTTGGGCAGTATCATTGTGCCGAAGTGGAAGATCTTGAAAGAACAAGCAGAAGGGGCTGAGTTAGGCTGCTGTGTGGGTATCTACTTTCCATTGCTTTTTAGCCAAAGCTACCTTCTCGCTGACCCTCTCCAAGGAGCAGTGTAGAAAGTCAGAACATTCCTGCAATCAGTTGCACAAATCCCTCTTCAGATCAAGTCCTGTCCCTAGCAGTTAGTGTGTCAATACAGTTTACACGTTTTAGGGTCTTTAATTCCTCCTCAACTTTTTTGGCCACTGGACTCCCAAAGATACCTAATCAACACAGGGGAGAATTTCACCGTGGCAGTCCGGTGGTGTGCATGTCTTCAAAGAGGCTGTGGAGGCAAAGCTCAACCTCAGTCTGACCACAGTCTTGGTTAAATGCTTTGTGATCCTCCTGAAACCAAGGGGGAGGAGCCAGCCATCAAAGAACACCCCAAGGCCATTTCTCATTGCTGCCCTCCCCCCAACTTGAGAGGACTTACCACGGGCCATTTCTATACCTTCCCACGGGGCTTTCCACTTCAGTCTCCATAAAGACAGGGGTGTAGGGCCGGGGATTTAGCTCAGTGGTTTTACCAGCTGCTGGGCAAGGGCAAGGACCCAAGTTCAATCCCCAGTACAAAAAAACAAAAAAGACAGGGCTGTAGGCTATACAACTGCTTGGCTTTAGAGTTGTCTTTTCAATGGCTGAGCCAAATGTCCATGGCACTAGTCATCTGCTCTGCTCTATTTTAGTCTCATCCTGTGGGATGAAGGACATAAGGGAGCCAATTTAATGCTGAGCTTGTGTCTGTGTGGATCATACTTTATCAGAATCTGTTTTTTAAGCTGAGAAATTACCTCCTTACCATATGACTCTGAACGTGTTGCAAGCCAGTGTAAAAGCTGTAATAGTGGGATCCTTTCTTTACCACAGTGCAGCTGCTTGCAGAACGCTTGACCACTTGACACAACCCACTGAGGCCCAATTAGTGTGAGCAGGTTACACACTGCACCAACCCAGGAAATGCCATGTCATCAAGAATTATTAATTATGTTTGAAAACCTCTGTAGGTGATAGTAAAGTGTCTCGGTCCAATCAGAAAAGCATATTAGGATGGGTTTCCTATCGTTAGATGTCAAATAAAGAAAAGATTTTCATTTTGTAATTTACATGAAGGTCCATAGAGACTGGTGGAAACCCTACACTTAACTCCGTTTACAGCCAGGGATTGCTACTTATAGGACCACAGTTTCTAGTTTTGTGCTACAGGATTAGTTCTAGGGAAATTTTAACTTTGTTTCTCACATGACACTAGATTTTTTTTTTTTTGGTGATTCCTGACATAAATGCATTAGCATTGCACATAGTGTAAATACTAATAGCAGTAAGGTGCTAATTTGCATTTCACCATATACCTAAGAAATTCTCCCTTCTAGCTTTAATAAAGAGGAGAAACAATGCTGGGCATGGTGGTGCATGCCTGTAATCTCATCACTCTGGGAGCCGGAAGAAGGTGGATATCCCAGGTTTAGGCCCAGCCTGGGTAACTTAGCAACTTAGTGAGATTCTGTCTAAAAATCAAATATGTTTTAAAAGGGCCAGGTGTGTAGCTGAATGTGAAGGCTCTGGGTTCAATCCCCAGAGAGAGAGAGAGAGATTGAGAGTCCCATACTATTTTCCTGGTGACAAATCACCAGTGTTTAAAAAAAGCTTTTACTAAGGCCAGGGATTTAGCTCAGTGGTTTCGTTGCCTGCTGTGCAAGCACAGGGGCCGGAGTTCGATCCCAAAGCTCTTACTAGGTAATTGTACACGGCTTAAATTATTATTATTAATGTTTTATTTTTTATTTTTTATTTTTTGGTACCTAGCATTGAACTCAGGACCTTGTGCTTGTGAGGCAGGTGTGGCACCACTGAGCTAAATCCCCGGCCCTGGCTTAAATTATTTTAAAAAGTGTCATTCTCATGGGTATCAAGTCTATAGACTCAAAATTTAAAATGAGGCTTTCCTCCATACTCTTAAGTGAAATAAATAGGACACACATGTGTAAATACCAAATAGTTTCTCTGGTGTGAGAAACTGAGAGTGTAAATAAGGATTAAAATGAATAATTGATAATACGAAATAGGAAGAAAAGGTCCAAAGGGGTAGGGGAAGTGGGAAGGGTAGGGGAAAGGCAAGAAGGGAAAGGAAAAATTATGAGAAAAGGAAAAAATGGAAACAAAGCCTTTGTAAATAGGGAAGGGTGGAGGGGTTGAAGAGAGGGCAGGGGAATGGGGAAAAAATAAGAACCAAGATACATCATGTAAAGGTTCAAAATCCCAATGATGAATGTAAATGTATTGTATACCTAAAATGTACCAATAAAAGAATTTAAGAATAAAAAATAAATAAAATGAGGCTTTCCTAAAATTCTATGTGTAGGAAGGAAAGAAGGGGAGAGCTTGCATACCCAGATCTTCAACATATATGACAAGGACAATCCTGCAACAGGTAGTTAGGTCTAAAGAAGCCTGTAGTCACAAGTTAGAAAATTTCCAGAACTAGTTGTAAACAGGAGTAATGACTCATTGTAAAAAGGAGTCACAATATTTTTCTGCGGAAAGAAAACATAAGAATTTTACTGGTTGCTGAATTGGTAACCTCTGCTTACAACAGTGAGTATTTATCTACTAGCTGGTGTTTTGTTATCAGTATACAGTGAAAAGCCTACTTCCAATACCTGTCTCCTCTCCATTTCGCAATTTGCCCCTACCAGGCAACTGAGTTTATTTTTTATGTATCATTTTGGTTGCTTTATGTGTACACAAGATAATTCCAATGTATATGCATTCTTAATTGTTTCCCTCCTTAAAAACATTCACACAAAAAATAGCAAGTTAGCCCAACTATGCTTCACCTTATTTTTTTCCCTTGTAATATGTCTTGGGGCACTTTTTATGAAATACTTCAAGAGTTTCCTTGTTCCTTTTTACCACTTAGATGCTCTTGTATGGATATACAATGATTTCTTGAAGCAGTTTCCTCATTGATGGGCTTTTACATTGTTTCAATCTCTGCCCTTTCAAATGCTTCTGCACTGGGCCGGGGATTTAGCTCAGTGGTTCTGCCGCCTGCTTCGCAAGCGCAAGGACCAAGTTCCATCCCCGGTAACAACAACAACAAAAAGATACTCAAATGCTTCCGCACTGACCTCTGTGTCTCTGTGTTTCCACATCATTGCATTTGTGCGGAAGATAAATGCCGAGGTGTGGAATCACTGAGTCAAAGAATGTGTGCCTGTGTAAATTTGACACCTATCACTCAGACAGCCTTCCCACTGGTCCCAAACCATTTTCTATGACCACAGCACCAGACATATTCAAGGGTGGATTTTACAGGAGGAATTGAGCAGCCTCAGATGTGAGTCCTGGAGTTTATAGCTTGCTTCCTGAAGAAGCTTTCACTTTGCTGACTCGTGGGCTTCCCTTGGAAGTCCCCTGAACCTTCTGGGAAATGTGTAATGGCCCAAGCGAGGCCTTGTGTGACAGTGGTAGAAAATCCTCTTCTCTTCTATTCATTACAACAGTGATTTTCCTATGGATATGCCAAAAGTATCTAGTGAAGATCGTCTCTCCTTTGTGGCTAAAACACACTTTACTCTCTGCTAGGGGAATGCCAGTGGATGGTAATTTCTGCCTTGTAGTCTTCGCTCTGTGGAGTAGAAGACCAGATATCCTAGTTCCTAACACGTGAGTCCCAGATAAAATGATTAAAAATGAGGCCATTACTGATAATGGCCCAAGGATGCCCCCTACTCCCACTCCCCAGAGATGGAAGATGTGACCCGAGCAAGAAGCTTCTGCTTAAGGAAGTGTATGAGAAGTTTGGAACAAAGCTAGGAAACAATGGAGCAAAAGGGAGAGGGAAATGAGAACCTAACCTGTGTACAATTATAAGGACACTGCTAGAGTTTTATAGGCAGGGCCAATAATCACTATAGGAAAAAGCTAACATTTCCTGGGGATTAGGAAAGCAGGCCTTTCAAAGGACACTCTCTCTCTCTCCATCTTGGTTTGGGGCCAACGCATGTCCTCCGGGGGATCAATGGCACTGGGCCCTCCTTGCCTGCCAACTGCTCTTGGCCTCAAGCCCATTCCCTCCCCCAGCTGGAGCTGGGCCTCTTAACTCTGTCCCCAATTGTTCTCATGCTTCAGGTGTCCACAGTCTCAGGAATTCCTGCAGAGCTCTTTCTTTGGTTTTATGTTTCATAAGCACATTCCCTGGCCAGAAAGAGTACGTTTCTGTGAAGCACGTTCCATCCCTGGCCCTTGGTCTGTAGAAAATACCTGGTAGGCTGCCAGACCACCATGGAACACTGCAGACTGCTGTGGAGGCAGATGCTCCTGAGGCCCTGGCAGAAGTGAAGGGTGAGGGTCACCGTGTGCTTGAGGGTGAAAAGGGAGCTCTTCAGTTGCACCCTTGCATTGTGCTCTCCTGTTGCCAGAATTCCCAGACTGCTCATCTCTGGTCAGCTGTGATCAGTGCCTTCCTCTCTGCCTGTCAGCTCTCCTCCTCATCCACCGCTGCCCAAAGCTACCTTTTTAAAGCATAAGTCTACTATTGCTCTGCTTAAAAATCCTTCAGTAACCTTCCGATATATACAGGAACAAACCAAATCCCCAAGCCTCATGCACAGGGTCCTTGATGGTCTGATCTTTGGTTTCCTGCCACTCCCATCCTGTTTTGTACTTTAGGCTCCAGACTCAACTTTTCAGTTCTTCCAAACTTACCTTATTAATTAGGAGCTGTGAGACATTTGCAGAATCGCTGCTGGTCCTTCATACATCTGCCTACAGGCCACCTTTCCCCCTAAAGTATTTTCTTCCTTTCCAAACATTTCATTAGCATCAGTCCCACTTTGTAGGAAGCAGATGTGTATGAGTGTCTCATCTACTGAACTGCTGTAATTTAAAGGAAAGGCAATATCTTATCTTGCTTATAAGTGAACAACAATTCTACAAGTGAGTAGGGTTCCTTAAACACTTGTCAAATAAATGAAGAAGTCAGCAACGAGATGAGCGTGGGAAGAGGTATAGTCATTGTTAGAAAGAAGATAACCAAATGAGCTTGTGTTAGCCATCTTTTCCTCACTGGGATAAAATACTTGAGAAAATCAATTTAGAGGAGGAAAGATTTGGTTTGACTCACAGTTTCAGATGTTTCAGTCCATGGTTGGCTGACTCTATTGCATTTAGGCCAGTGGCAAAGCCATTATGGTGGAACAGCATGGTACCCAAAAAGCTGATCACCCCACAGCAGTCAGGAAGCAGAGAGAAAGGGAAAGGTAGCCAGAGAAAGTAATGTGCTAGACACCAGATATGGGCACACAAGGTCATATCCATAGGACCCACTTCATTCCGCTAGGCCCCACTACTTCCCTCTTTCCCTGAAAATAAGACCTAGCTGGAAAATAATCAGCCTTGAAAACTAGAGATTAAAAAATGCCAGCCCCAATCAGCTTCTCCTTGCCTTATCTGCCTTAGGGAGTAGCCACCAAGCAAGAGAGTAGTGATGGCAGGTGAGGCAAAGATAGGCTGATTTGGGCTGGAAGTTTTGATCTCTAATTTTCAAGGCTGATTATTTTCCAGCAAGGTCTTATTTTCAGAGAAACATGGTTGTTTCCATCACCCAATAATATCATCAAATTATCATCTCATTAGTGGATTGATTAATCCATGAATGAAATTAGAGTTCTCACGATCTGATCACTTTCAAAAGCCCCACTTCTGAGCACTTGAACCTTGTGGGGGACATTTTTGATCCAAACCATAACAGCGTTCTTTCAAGAAGCTGAAACTTATCCCTTTCTAAAAATGCACATAGAAAGCCTTTAGTATCAGTTATTAAAATGTTGAGTATTGAGCACATAACCAACACTGTCTCGGTTGCAGAGAGCAAGGTATTAAACTCAGGTACAAAGCTTTGGTGGCATATGGCACAGTTAACTTCATTCTAAAAAAATAGCTTCTACACTGAACAGATAGTAATTTATACTAAGAGAAAAAGCTCATGAAAATTATTTTAAGAAAAAATTTTAGTGGACATAAAAGTCCATTGTAATGACAGGCTGCCCTCTATAACCAGCTCACTTACTAGGTGGGCAAGGCAGAAGCAAAAAACCAGAGCACTTCTCACCACTCCTATCCACAAAGGTAATTTGAACACTTGTTGCCCCAGTGATGAGTGATTGGCATCATCTTGGAACACAAAGAACTACCATTGCTGAAGAGTCATGAGAACCATCAGTGTCTTGAAAAACAACAAAGGGATAGGGATAAGGGAGAGAACATATGTAAGTTACCAAGATCATGAAGGCAGCAGCAGGCCTTCATCTAGCAGCCTGATTACGAAGGGTTGAATTTATAGATATCCCCATGATCAGTGCCATGTAGGAACGGACAAACAAAATGGAAATTCTGAGAAAAACCCAAACAGGTAACAATTTAAGAAGCCCTGATTCCAGCAACTAGGCATAGTCTCTTAATTTAGAGTCTCCAGTGAGATTATGTCCCTACAACCAGAAACTAGAGATAGTAGAAGGTACCTTGCACAAACCGAAAGAGAACAGAGCTGGTCTGGGGACCCTGGCCTCATTACAAATAGCAGGTAGACCTAGGAGACTTGAGGAGCCAAGCTCTGGGGAAAAGGTGTCCGTAGAATGAACTCTTAAGTAGACTGAGAGCACCAGAAGCACCAGACCTGGTCCTCACCAGCGCAGTGACCCTACTGCCAAGCACAGTGCCCAGCACATAATAGGCACTCAAGTAACATCTACCTGCCAATCAGTGACTGATGGAACAAACATTCGCAGGGCTTTTTTTTTTCTTGTTTGAGGTACCTTCATTGACCCAGGAAGAAAGATTGGCAAGGTATTATTTTTATTTTACAGATGTAAAAACATTCCAATTAGAAGTTCCAGACTTGTCTGAGGCCACTTAATACAGGTCCCTTCTACTTTCCCTGAATCATACTTTATGGCCTCATGGATCATACTTTATATCCACGTGATGTTTTTTAATTTCAAAGTCCTTTAAGGAGCAGTTATGAAAACAATTACCACTTTAGGTAGTGATGAGCTACTTTCCCAGTTTTCAGAATAAATAAGCTGAACTTTGATGGATTTATTGGCTGTAATAGCTCTGCCTGGGTCAGAACCCTAGTGTTTGGGGTCCCAGGTCTGAGAGTATTCTGTGATCACGTTGCATCCCACCTGAGCCAGAGAAAACCTGCAGCTTTCCACAGCTCCTGCCTCCTCTCCCAACAGAGAGCATGGAGAAGCTGTGGGAAGTACAGAAACCTGAGCTCCAAAGGCCTGATCCAAATGGATCAGATGTAGCAAGGAACCATCTACAAAATGTACAAAATTTACATCAGAATTGTCCTACCCTGTTGTTGTAGGCTCTTTTGAGCTCTTTAGGGATGGGGCCACTGGAGGCGGGGGAGCAGGTGGTAGGCAGCTTGAGTTTTCCCAGAAGATTCCTCTGGTGATTCAGATTCATCCCTCTTTCCACTACCCACCCTCCCTGGGAGCTGTGGAAACCCTAGCTGAGCTGCCGGAGGTCACCAGATACTCTGGTCCAGCAGCCCTGGGAGAAGTGTGCCCTGCGTTGGACGTAGACCCACAGAAATCCTTTCTTACCTGGTTGGTGGCTTGGGCTTCCCCTGCTTGTGAGAGGCTCACTACTGCCAGGCAGAGCACGGCTCTCTGACTCACCAACTCCCCCTCAGCTTCCTCCTCCTCTTCCTCCTCCCCTTTTGCATATCCATCTGTTTCACTGCCCTCTCTGTTCTGCTGAGGAAAAGACCCAACTTGCAAGACAGGCTTGAGAAAGCACTGGCTCCCAGGAAGTTGTGACATTAGCAGCTTTCACACCTGTGAGACTCAAGGGGTGTGGAGACTACTCTGGGTGCACCGGGAAAAGCGCAGGAGGAAACGTCGTCTCCCCTAACTGGCCAGAGATGATCCTGGAACATCGACTCCTCTGAGGCAGCAAGAAGGTCGACTCCCTTAGGGAGGGTGCAAGCAGTGCCGTGTGCAGAGCTAGCAGATAAGGTTAATAAGGACGGCACCCAGCATGCCCGCAGGATTTTAAGCCTTACTCTCCTCTCTGGTTCTTATCTCTGAGGAGAAAATGTGGAAGTTATTTCTGCAGGGCCCCTGCTTGCTCACTCACTCCACCCTAGGGAGGTAACATTTCTCACTCTGTGTGTCCTATCCAACACAATCATACCTTCACATCAGAGGTGATAAATATGTTCTGGGAGGACACAGACTGGTGTTTGGGTGGAGTAAAGGGGAAAGATTTTCCCTTAAGGAAAAAAATAAGTTATCTTTAAAGGTAGTAACTTCTTACTAGCTCAGTAGCTTCTTACATGCCCTAAGGGAAATAAAATGCCTGCCCTGTGCTACTCTACATGGTTGTCACAAGATGCATGTGAGTAACTGTAAACTGCGATGGAGTATAGAAGCCAGAGATTTCATGTCACTTGTTGAGCCCTAGATTATCACTGTAAAACAAGGGAGAAAAAAATCTACCTTTTGTTTTCATTTCTGGGATTGAGTTAACTCAAGGCTTTTGCACTAATTTACATCCCCAGCTTTAAAAAATGTTTAAAAAAAATTTGAGACAGGCTCTTGCTAAGTTGCCAGGCTGGGCTTGAACTTTTTTTTTTTTTTTGTACCTGAGATTGAATTTAGGACCTTGCACTTGTGAGGCAGGTGTGGAGCCACTGAGCTAAAAACCCCAGCCGTGGGTTTGAACTTCTGATTCTCCTGCTTCAGCCTCCCAGAGTGCTGGGATTATAAGCATCTGCCCATCTGACAGCATCTACCTTACAGTATTGTTGTGAACTTCAGGATTCATACACACAAAGCCCCTAACACAATTTTATGACAAAAAGAATTTGAAAGTGATAGTTATTATTAAATAATAATACCTCTTTTTCTTATGCAGCTGTGGGCACCTTTTCCTGGCTTTGGGGCAGAGAGCTGGCAGGTGCTGGGTGGCTTCTGGGGCATCTGGATTGGGCTGGTTGCCATCAGCTGAGCCCCCTGGGGCCTTATCATTGCACAAATGACGAGAACCCGTGGAGGCTGCCTGCCATTGATTTCAGTTGTGTGTCTCTTCCTTCCTTCCTGGTTCTTTCTGGCAGAGAAATTTCTCTTCCTCCAAGTGACTGTTCTGTACAGAGATGTAAACTGAAGGTTCAGAAATGGGCAGCTAATAGCTCTGGTCTTATTCTTATTTAAAAAGTCATCCTTGTTGAATATAAAAAAATCAAACGATGAAACTCACACAAGGAAAAGAAGTAGAAATCCTTTTACAGGTCACTGCCCGGAGAAAATCACTGTTGATCATTTTCTCCGTAGAACTCTATATAACTGAAGTCACACTGAAAAGAGTATTGTACTTGTTTTCCATTTGTTTTTGCTTTCAAATAGTTTAAGTTATGAAATACAATTAAGGCATACAGGTACAATTTAGCACTCTGGGAGGCTGAGGCAGGAGGATTGCAAGTTCAAACTCAGCCTGGGGAATTTAACAAGACTCTGTCTTTACAACACACACAAAAAGGATACAACTTAACAAATAAAGGAACTACTGCTTCAATAAAAACAAGAACGAGAACTCACAACGGAACATTGCTGAAGCACTTCCCACCTCCCTTGGCTGGCGAGCCTCCCCCTCCCCTTACCCAGGTGGCTGCCTGCAGGGTAAGCAAGTCCTTGCTTCTGCTTGTAGTTATCACCTTAGACAATAGAGTTGGATTTTCCTCATTTTGACCCTTGGTGTCATACATATTCTTCTAGGCTTTCCTTTTTTTCATTTCCCATTGTCCTTTTCAGATTCATCATGTTGTTTCATCTTGTTAGAGTCTTTTGCTTGTTCTGTGTGAGACTGTACTGCTCCTCGTGCTCTATCTAGTTAATCAATTTTGCAGTTGTTTATAGTTCTGACTGAACTCATTTTTCTCCTTCCTTCCTTCCTTCCTTCCTTCCTTTTTTTTCCCCCCTGTGGTACTGGGAGTTGAACCCAGGGAAGTGCTCTGCCACTGAGCTACATTCCCAGCCCTTTAAACTTTATTTTATTTTGAGAGAGAAGGTCTCACTAAGTTGCCTGGGCTGGCCTCAAACTTTCAATCTTCCTTTCTCAGCCTCCCAAATAGCTGGGATTGCAGGTGTGCACCACCATACCCAGCTGTGACTGCACATTCTTGTCATGTATGCTGGCTCATGTCCACTCCAGTGTCTCTTGGGGATGCTGGGACACAGGGCATGATTGGCTTTGAGCTTTTTCACTTCTCGATACATCGTAAGCATTTATCCAGGTCAGCTTTGGCAAATGTTGTTTTGAAAGGTTTTCTAATATTGAATATTAGAAAGATTTCTAAAATTCAACTCAAATTTTAATATAGTTTCCAGTCTTGCCCTATTACAACATGACTGAATATGTGATCTTAATGAATGAACGAGATCAAATCCATGGATAAATTGGCTAGCCCATCTTCCTCCGTACTTGTTACACCACAAATCTTATCTTCTTTCATTTATGATTCATAAAGCAATTACGTAGGAAGAACTGACCTCAAAGCACCCATTAAGAAATAGCTATTTGACTCTTCCTGCAAGCGGCCTGAGTTGACCTGTGAAAATGGTTCACTACACTCCTGATCCAGAAAATCATCCCACAAAATCACCCAAATCAAGAGGCTCAATCAAATGTTGATGTTCACTTTAAGAACACTGGGAAAACTGCCCAGGCCATCAAGGGTATACATATCTGAAAGGCCACCAAGTATCTGAAGGATGTCACTTTAAAGAAGCAATCTGTGTCATTCTGGCATGACAGTAGTGGAGTTGGTAGGTGTGCCTAGACCAAACATTGAGGCTGGACATAGGGTCAGTGGCCCAAATAGAGTGCTGAATTTTTGTTGCACATGCTTGAAAATGTGGAGCAATGCTAAACTTTAGGGTTTCAACATAGATTCTCTGACCATTGAACATATCCAGGTGAACAGAGCATCCCAGGTGCACTGCTGGACTTACAGAGCTCCTGGCCAGATTAACCCATACCTGAGAAACAAAAACTTATGGCATGGGAACAAATTAAGCACAAAATAAATGCAAATAAAAGTAAAAAAAAGAAATAGGTGTTTTTCTGGGCAAAGTGACATGTCCTTGTGGTCTCAGCTACTCAGGAAGTTGAGGCAAGAGGATCACTTGAGCCAGGGAGTTCAAAGAAAAAAAGAAAATAAAAAGAAAATATGGAACTAGATATTCTCATGTATTCGTAGAAGCTAAAAAAGACCCAGGAAGTCAAATGGTGGTTACCAGATCCTAGGAAGAATGTCAGAGGAGAGGTAGAGAGGATGGCTAGTGGGGACAGTGGTGTAGTTGGAGAAGACGAATGTGCTCTAGTGTCCTAGCATTAGGATAAAATACCTCTGGTTGACAACAATTAATTGAATATTTTGAGATAGTTACTAGAGAGGATTTTTATCAAATTATGTATGCCTGAGGTGATACATGTCACTTACTCTGACCATCAGAGATTATATCCAGGCATTGAAAGATCCCACCATACCCCATAAATATGCACAATTATCATGTGTCAATTACAAACGAAATATATTTTATTAAAGATACTTATATCTTTAATGTTTATGTTTTCATTTGTGAAATGGAAGTATTAGCTACACATCAAAGGGTTATTATATAGGTTAATGTACATGTAAAATGATTGGAACACTGCCTGGCACAAAAATCAGTACAGTAAGTGTTGTAACTATCAAAATTTTTATATATGCATCACATCCTTCTGTAGAAGTGTATAATTTATATTTATTAAATGAAACGTCACATCCTACAATTATTATTCATCAATTAAAATTATTTCAATGTTCTATTATGAAAATATATAACATCCTGCTGGACAAGGAGGACAGAATAATGTAGTAAGGTTATGCAAAGTGCAAGCTGCTGTGATCCTAAAGGGGAGACTGCCAAAAGTGATTCAGGATAATTTACCATCTCTCTCCACCCTGGGAGAGAGATTTAAAATAAAATTGTGACCAAACTGCATTTTAGGGTTAAGGAAATGAAAACATTGTTGTAATAGACTCTAGTCTCATTCACTGCCAACAGACCACCATCACTTTTAGCAAGCTACTGAAATGTTCACAACTGTACATGTCAACAGACAATCAGCTGACATGATCACCCAAAACTAGAACATAAGTTACAGAACACTGAGATTATAAACACAAGAGTCCATATTTCTAGAATACTGAACAAGAGGTATCTGTGGCTTGACAGTACTCAGACAGGAATCTGTGGCATCCTTTTTAAACTATTTTATATTTCTACAATGAAATCAAGCTATTAATTTCATGTTTATTTTAGAAGGATCTTTCTCAAGATTATTAATTTGAATCTGATCAAATCATAATCACTCCTTAAATTTTTCTCTCAACTAATCATTTCCATTCTGCTACCTATGGTTCAATTTACGCTTTATTCTATGATAGCCAGAGCTTATTCCACAGGATCTGATCTATACAATTATGTGTTAGAGACAAAATATTTTCAGGTTTGTTTTCAAATGATATTCTACAAAGAATATATCAAGTTTTCAAGTTTACAGAAAATCGTACTACAACTGACCATACAATTCACCAATATAAATGCCTTAACAGTTGTTTATTCCCTTGTTTAAGTAACACTAATAAGCCTTAATGCATATGGCCACCACCTGTTTTTCCCCTGTGCTATCCTTCTGACACTTACATAAGAACATCTCAACTCAATAACTAAATTTTACAACCCCTGTTATGTCAATCACATGGTGATGCACAAAAATCCCAATTTCATCAATTTTTAACACATTGGAAGTA